CAGACCCAACCAGATCTGCAGCCATCCATCTCTGCCCTGGATTGTAAATTTACTTCTTATTCGAAGGCTCTTACTACTGTCACTCAGGTGGAGACATAGAGTATAAGTTTGAAGCGATCTCTCACAAAAGGGTAGAACATTCTGCCCATAGATACTAACTAGGGTCCTGACAAATTTGCATTCTGCCCTGTAATTTGTCAAACTGGCTTAGTCTCATACTAATTTATTGGCACTTCCTGAAGGCAGGTCCTCAGTGGAAACACTGGTCCGCGGCAAACCTGGTTCATTTGCCTTTATAGTGGTACACATTAGCCAAGTGTGGAACCCTCCACCCTCAAATAATTGCTTTTGTTGATACAACGTTTTATGTTTGGATAAGGATAAAAAGGCTCCAAAAAGTGGCATAACATTTGAAAAGAATTTGTAACTAGAAATGCCAGAAAACTGTGCATATCAGCTTGTTGATTTGTCTCTTTTCAACAGAACAGTTTTCCCTCCTCTCAGTACAGTTCAATTCAGAGACAGTGCTGGGGAGAGAAGTAATTTCATCGTTACGGATTCCACTTTTAAAATGACAAATTAAGTTTTTGTGATAATGATAATAAGCTCTTCTTCACCTTTATTCAATTAGGCAAGAAGAAACATTAACTTCTACAGTAAATCCTTTCCTCGTCTGATTATGGGGCAGCTGGGAGGCTCTCCCTTAGTAGGTCTTCCTTTCCATCGTTACTGATTCATCTCATCGATGCAAACTGTGCCATGAAAGGTGAGATAGTAAAATCGTAACTGCTTCTCAGTGTAATTCGGACGCAAGCACCTCCGAAGCAGCCGAAGCATATTTGAGGTGCGATTAAGTAACCTGGGGTGGGAGGGATATTGACCAGTGCTACTGTGGCGTTATCAAATTTTGTGGATCGGGCCCTTCCAGGAGCTGATCGCTATGATGGTGGCTGCGTGGACTGATAGACGGGGTGCCTTGCCAATGCAGGAGTGAAACGTATGCCCTCAGCGTAAGCGCTTCATGGACGTGCGTTATGTCGCCTCTCCATCAGCGAGGCTACTGGTCCTAGAGCTTGTTTTCTCATCATTCTATGGTAGCTGAACATGTAAATCTTCACACTGCAGAGTGAAAGTCGGGTCATTACATTACCAATCGGCCATAAAACCACTCAAGATGGTGGCTTTTTTCTGCAGGATTCACGTTTGCTTATCGTGTTGGATATCAATGGACGCATTTTGTCAGCTGTTGAGGTCTGGGTGGAAAAGTTAGGAAAGAAAACGAAATTTGGAGATGAAAACTTCCTTCTTTATTTTTTAGGCAACAATTTCACGCAGCATTGCTCTTTAATCATCACGTAGCCTCAAATTTTAGGTAAATTCATTACACTATTAATTTTACCACACCATGATATGTAGAGATTATGGCGAAGTGTTTTGCGCGCATCGATGACCTAGAGGTGTGGAGTTCGCTGACACTTTTCTGCCTCTTTTAATGCTTAGACAGAGGTTATTCGATTTCATCGGCTACCTGATAAGTTCCTCTTAATGATGCAGACTGTGTTGATCATTTCAGATCACCTACTAATCGTACCTTATTTTACTGGGCCATCAAGCTCAACTGTCTTGACTAACAGCGTATGGCGATTTTCCCTTCATTTCAGTTGTTGGTGCTTAAGCGCCTCCTTCCTCTTTTCGAGATTATAGATAGAGGAGCCGTACCGATTTACAAAGTTATACGATGGCCACTTCCTCTTTTATGCCATGAAGAGGCTGCTTTTATGGATTTACTGGTACAAACAGATGATTGCGGTATTGTCGTCTGCCCTGATCATGGCATTGTTCGTGCGCAGTCCGCCTCCTAGTAGCGCTAACGCGGAGCAGATATTGTTTGCAGCTTCCACAACCACGGCTCTTGCCTTGTCATAAACGCCGAATCGGAAGATGTTGTTGTGGTTTGAAGGGCCCACAGCAAAGAGGTCCACTGCATCTGCATCACCAATTCACTGCACCAAAGCCCACAGACCAAACTTTCGCTGCTCCGTTCACGTGTCGACATGACGCCACTCTTCGTGTGAGCCAGGCGGATATGGATTCCAACACCGCTTATGTCTTAAAGGCCCTGCTGAAAACGTCGCCGTCACTCCCATAAACTTGCATTCAAAGTGGTGCGTGAAGGTGCAGTTTAGTGCATGTGCATCAACGATAGCCACCAATTGCAGAAAATGCTGCCAGTCACACAATATTCATAATTCCAACCACACTACTAATAGAAAAAGTCTGGCTGAACAAACAGAGGATGGTACCAGGACAGTTGGATAATGAATTGTCATGCAGTGACTGGCACCGTATTTACGGTCAAGTATGAGATGTGTGCATTCATAAGGTCAAATGCATGACCTCAAAATATTGCCTTTCAGCCCACAAAATAGGATCATTCATTGCCTGTTCCCTAAATCGAACTCGGCTTCCACCACCCGCCTGGCTGTGAACAGTGAAGCAGGCTTTAATATATTTCCAGCCACATTTTCCACCTGATCTACAGTTCTCCATCTCTTCTGTAAGTGGAAAATGGGTCTAATTGCCAACCGAAGTCCCTCAGTATGACTCAGATGGAGGATGGAGGCCATCTTGTGAAGAAGGGAAGGAAAATTGGCCATAGCTTTTACCTAGTGCATTGAATAACTCACATCCTGCCTGATAATTTGCTAAGCAGCGTAGTTTTAAGCTGACTTCGTGGTGCACCCGGAAGACAACTGCTAGGTAGGAAATTTGATCTTAGGCAAAACACGTTCATCTGACTTTTAGTGTTATAAATCTGCCAGAATTAAAGTCTCTATCCGACACAAGTGAACGAGGAGTTGGAAATCCATATTCAGACTGCTTTATCCAAATTAACCTGCATGTCATCAAATGTGTTTGCTGATTTATGATGGAGTTGACTAGCACAGGAAGATAACAGAATGCCAATCCTTTTGGTGAAAATTCTTAGCCAGCACTGCTTACTCAATGCCAAATCGCATTATTCCCATTTTCTTCCAGCCACAGTGCTGGACACCCTCGAAACATTTCAATAAGCACAAACTTCTAATTTTTCTGTGTCATTTTTTCGTTTCTGCTTACTTAGGCCTTTAATGAATGGGCAGTTTGGTGTAATTTGACCTTTGAGTAAGAAGAAGAATTCGGCTATGTCTCTGATTTGATCCCATTTTCGTTGTACTTTATCGGGGCTATATATTCCCAATCTCACCCCATGCCAAGTGGAAGTCTGTACAAGACTAAGTGCGTCTTTACTGCTTTAATGGAATTTTATTGCCCTCTGCTCACCTCTCCAGAAAGACTGATTTCCATGCGTAAATCCCAGACACCTTTTGTTGTACCACGATGAGTCCTGGCACTTGGCAAGCTAATTGTGTGCTCAATTCATAGCAGCAGACATGTTTTCGGCTGGAAGCAGAGGAATCAGCTATGAAATTTAGGAACAGATAATAGTTTGGGACTTTGCTGGGTGTTTTTTTGCTTGTGCATGCATATGACTCAAAATTACTTGTCACTTTTACTTTGCGAATGTCAATTTACCTATTTCCTCCGAGGGGACGAGGTCATCCAGGCTCAAAGACGGGACCTTAAAGAGGGCGCTTCGAGAACATGTAGTGCATTCGCTTTCTAATTGGTAGCTTATACATTTCGTGTGCCATTACTTATTCTGCTTAAATTCATTTACCGTGTCCAAGGAACCTGTGAGTGCTTAACTAGCCCGAATGTATAAAAATCACATTGTCTTGAGTCGTCTAAGAAGGCCCATCTCAAAGTATTTGCGACAAAACTCATCAAAGCAGGCAGACATTTACTGGATAGCGTCCACGTGTGGTTCTTCAGTACGCCTAATCCAAGGGATGGGTGGGAATGAAGAGGCTATGAAACCACCAACACTATGTACCTTAGCAAAGCTTACGTGGTAAACCAATGAATTGCTGTTTTAACGTCATCTTTGAGGGGTTACAAGAGTATTCTTTCTTCCTTGATCCATGAAATAAAGAAATGATTTTCACATTAGTCACCAGTGAATGCTAAATGCCACCTGCTGACCACCTCAATTATGGTATTGGCTGAAGTAAAATTATTTTTTTGACAGGCCAAAATGAATATCCATGCTGCTGAGGGAATGGATGCATTCCCATCTGCAGCCTAGCTACGCGAAATCAAGGGTATTATCCTTCGGTTATTCAGTCCAAAATGAAGAAATTCGTGTTCAGCTTAGTGTTGGGCATAGGCTGGACGCCATTGGGAGCGATTATGTCAAAGGTTAAAATGAATAATGAAGAGTGAACGTGAATGGGGAGAAAAGCTGACCCTGACAGAGCCCTGTACAAGTGTGCAAAATTTTTTTGTGGATGGGGAGTGAGAATCATACTTACGCATTTCAAAAATAGCATTCATTGCTAATTTTCGCCGATCCAAGAGATCAATATAACTCCATGTTTCCTTTTGGCTGGTAGACCTGCCTGAGGAGGCTGAGGATGAGCAGGATGTAATTTTCGAGTCTGAGGTAAATGTGATCGAGAAGGTGGAGGCAGAGCTCGTTGAATCGTGATTGAGGCCAGCTGCTGCAGCTAGGTTGCGTTTGCATGGAAAGAATGGGAGTGTGAGGCAGACTAAGTGTATATATTTGGAACCAAAATTAAATTTTGCAAGACTTCTGTATCTTGCACGGAAATACATGAAGCATGGATTCCAGTGAACATAATCTGTATTAGGATTGGCAATAAACAACTAGCCAAGCCCAAATTAGGCATGGTGTGCGCAAGCTCGAACTCCAGTTCGATTTTACCTGGCCTACGCATAGCCTAGCCTTAGACGATAAGGTGAAGAGAAGAGAGTGAAGGAGGGACGAACCAAAGAAAACTGATAAGTGTTAAAAGTCGGAAAAGAGGAAGTTACGCGTTTCGTGATATATTCCGCTCATCGGCCTCTTAAGCCTCACAAGCAAGGGAATATTAGTGCGAATGAAAGATCACTTGCAATCCTTTTGGCCCTTCCGATCGTAGCGTGTGTCGGAGATAGAGGCGGATTCTAAGACTGTAGAAAGCTTCAAAACTTCCCGCAATCTCACGAACTGACTATCGCGCAATGAAATAAACCTTTACAGAGGTGGGATTTTGATCGCCTAAAACTTAGATAGGAAAAGGAATTGCAGCAGCCGTAAAGTCATTGGACTGTTTCGAAGATACACTCAAGGAATGCCTCTTATTGAACTATCAGCAGCTGTGATACGAAAGCAAATGACCAAATAATTGCTTAATCTTGTTATGCTGGCTAGTATGTGCTCAAAATTAACACATTATTTTTTTTCTCTATTATCATTCTTTATGTTAAGCAGACCAATGGTCTCAAAATTATAGTTAAAACTTATCATTGTTAGTTAAGAGCATGTAACCCTGTGAGCAGAAGCCAAATAGAATACACAGGTGAACAAAGAAAAGGTGATAGGACGATGGGTGTAAAGTTTGCATGTCCTAATGGATCCTTTAAATGGAATGGCCGTAAAAGTGTAAAAGCTGTCTACATGTCGTATTCTTCGCACCAGGCTTGAAATATAGAAGCGACCGTCCACCACTTTTCTGAGTAATATTGAGCAGAAAATCTTTTGTAGTCACTGGATTTTTATGAAGTGTACCAACAGTAGCTGCTCATTTTCTATTCACACGTGATGTCTAGGCGTGTACATCCTGTAAATTCCTTTATTGTAGTCAACAGGTAGCGCTCGGTTCGAACGGCAGTCCACACCTAGATACGCGCGACCTTACCCCTACTGCGTCATTTCGCTTGCCTTTCATTCTGGCTAATTTGGATATCTGAGTTTGTTAGATGATTGATCTAGGAAGATAGATAGATAGATTTGTCTTCCTCTTTCGCCTAGAAAACTAAATGTTTACAAGTTCGTTTATTCATTTTAAAGCAGCGCGAACCGATTGTGTACCACCAAAATTAAAGTGAGTAGCGGTGGCAGTAAGCGCAGAGCCGAACATGCTAATACATTCTTGAGAAAATATGTTTAAAAATGAACACTAGGTATCAAAAAACAACTATTACGATGCCCATTTGTTCAACCTTGGCTCAAATGTCTTAGGAGCAAATCATTTTTTTAATTGGACTAGTGCGAAAACCGCCTATTTGCACACAAACTGCCTCTGAATTCAGGCAAAAGAGTCATCTTTAACCAGCACTTTTTACTTTTATAGCATAGAAAATTTCTAACAAATTTCCTCTTCAACGAAATTTTCTTAGTAAGAAGTATTATATTTGAAGTAGTTTACTGATTTTACGAAAACAGCCGCAGAGCAAGTTTTGACGCAGAGAGAGAAGCGAAAGGCGATTTAAGCGCTGATTTACAAGGAGAGGAAGTGTAATTCAAATGAGGAGATAGGTCGATGTTTAGGCTGATGTGTTTTCGAAGCATGGCAGACATTACTTGCTGTTTCTTTGACCAATGGAAGGGAACTCAAGGTGTGTTATGATGAGAAGAATAAAAAAGGGCGCAAAACCTATTCTTAAAGAGCTCCCGAGCAAAAAAGATTGCAAATGTGAGCGCCTAATCATAATTACATACAAAGAACAGAGTTAACTTAAAGGAACGAAAGATGGCACCATACTGCAGGATAGTTTACACCAATCACATAAACCAATTTGTTGCAGGGAAATGGAGTCCCTCCATGCATTCCTATCTCTTTTCACCAACGACCAACATTTCATTTCACCAAATTGATACTAAAAACTGAGAGCGTGCAGATCCACGTAAACCTACATCTGGTTCTGACACAGACTGCTTTAGAAATGCAAAGCTCATTTTGTTCCCGCGCACAATTTGGTTTCAATATGGCTTAGATTGGTAAAATAATTCAGTTTCAAAACCCAGATGTTACGTGCAGAAGAACTGCAGAACAAGAAAGCAGTCGCTAATTGAGGCTTGACCAACACTCTTCGAATGTGTTACTCACGATCCGAGAATAGCGCTTTAGCTATTCAGCATGAAAGTTGCTTTTAATCTTCATTCTGGTGGAGTGGATAAGAGAGCCGTACAACACAAATGCGATTGTGGCTGTCATGTGAGCAGTGGAGGGTGTACCAGTGCAGCATGTGCCTGCGTCACAAGGAATTTTGACAAATGTTGTCCGGTTCTTTGTTTATTGGTACCCTACACCTACACGTAGGGCTGTCACCGAAGTTATGGTAAAGCGAAATTACATAGACCACAGACGCGTTCACTAATGGCAACTGGCTGTGCCATTTGGCATGCTTTACGAAAGGATTGACTTATAAACAACGAAAAAAATATAAGAATTCCTCGCTTCGATACTACTAACATTCAGTAGGCTTATAAGCAGCAGTTGGATTGGTCAAGAAAATCATGATTGCATATGTGCATGCATGATCAACAATGTGCCTGAACCGCGGCCACAGTCCTCCTCTAAGAAACTGGGTGGAAACCGACTTAAGTAAGCTAAACTAAATCACTTCTAAGGCTAGATTTGCGCGTAATACTCATCTGTCGAACAATATCACTTTGGTTTGATAAAAAGCTGTGTAGATGGTGATGCTTAGAAGTCAAATTTCCATGTACAAACCGCAATTTCTCGAGTACGCAAGCAACTTTGCAGACTACTTCACAACATTA